CCCCAGGTGCTTAATTGGTCGGGCTTATGCAGATGACATCAGCGGTGAATGTTCAGCCGAAGATCCAGCGGAACTCTTGCAACAGACCAAAAATTTCCATGACATTGTTACATCATATCAGCAGTGTGGACTTGGAGATATCAGCATGAAGAAAACTTTCACCTTCGGTGACCAATCACTGCGACAAGCCGTCGATCCTCAGATAGAACACGTCAATGATTTCCGATTGGTCGGCGTATCCGTTGTATCACAAGTACTCACTGGTAGCTTCACCAAACTCGAGCAAAAACGGTTAGACAAATGGAAGAACACAATTGCCAAAGTCAGATGTCTACCCTTGTCGTGGCCCGAAAAAGCTAAAACCCTATTGAGCACTCAATCCCAGGCCACCTGGGGCCAAGGTGCACATCAATTGCCTAACGACATCAAAGCATTAAATTTAGTTCGATCATCTCTCATGCGAACTTTCTACAACGCTGATTTTTACTCTATGTCTCCCTTGTTAACCTTTGCGCTATTAGTGCCAGTACAACTCGAGCCATCATTTGCTATGCAATATGCAGGTCTCCTGACCTTTCAAAGATGCATTTCCGGTTGTGCACAAAGTGCCAGGTTGGCCCAGCAAATTCTGACATCAGGAGCTGCCAACACAGTAGGACCTTGCGCACGAATTCAGGAGCTTGCAGATGGCCCCCTGAGTGAACCAATTCAACAACTATTGCTGAACCAAATTGATAACCTTGAGCTGTGGAAGCATAATCTCAGAGAACAATGGAGACAGAATCTTCTCAGACAACTCGAAAAAGAAAGGTCACATCAATATCAACATGCAACAAAGATTGATCGGAATATGACCATGATGTTCCATGACATGCTACAGCAGGTTGCAGATGGCACGGGCCATCCAGGTCTACAGCTCACACCAGAGGAAGCATGGATGAAACTTGCAGTGCTGCGAAGAATGCTAGCGGGCGGTTTGCTCACGCAATCAAGAATCCGCAGACATCGGAGACATAATGAAATTCATGTGTGTGAATGTGGTCTTGGAGAGGAAAGTACTGTCGAACATGTCAGTTGGAGATGCAAACATTTCGATCACATTCGGCAGCCTATGCTCTTACAATTGAATCCTCATATCCAAAATTTACCAGTTGTCACTCGATATGCTGCAGTTGCTTTAAGAGACACACTCTTGACACAAGACGAAGTTATCCTTTTGCAGTCTACTCTCGTTCAAATTTGGCAATCGCATATAGAGAGGTTCTACGGAGAGGATAACGATCCACCACCGAATGACCCAGATGTCGGTGTAAGCAGTGATAATCCTGAACCGCCAAAAAATGCTAATGGTCACTCTCTTGCGTTCAAAGCCGATGGAATAGGTGTGTTTTGCCAGAAGTGTGGAAAACATGTGACGAATCTCGGTCACATCAAGCTGAAGATCACTGGTAAGCGTTGTGAGTTCGAACATGTTTCGCCTAGCCAATATGTTGACCAGCCAGGAAAACATAATAATCAGAACAGATTGCAAAAAGCTTTTCAAGACATGAACGAAAAATACAACAAAGGGAATCATGTACTCGAATGGAATTACAAAGTTGGCAAAAAGCCACCTGATGAAGGTATCCTCAATTGCACAGCCTGCGGAAGAACCTGGAAATGGAAAGACCGGGTCAACAACCTCCCTAAGACTGTTTGCAAACCAATCACTATTGACAATAATATTAGCTTGCAAAAATCAGCGTCATCCAGTGCAGTCGAGCCAGTTGTAAGGCGTAGATTGCGGGGCAAACAGACCATTTCTCAAGCTTCACCTAGTGCAAGTTCAAATCTCACTCCTGAAACTTTGCATTCTCCAAGCGTTGCAGCTACGGAATCCGTACCTCGAAAAGATCTGTTCTTCAGAACAGGTATTGGATGAATGTCACAGAAAGGAGTCTCTCAGCTTGTGCTGGGTCACTCCGACAAGTTCAAGCTTCTTAGACCCACAGAGATATGACATGCCTACCAGATCAACCACAGCCACTAGACTGTCACAACGTCTTGTCCTATCTATGTGCACTTTATACAACATGACCATGGAAAGTTGGGACATTTCCGGTGCTTTTCTCAAAAGGTTTTTCATTTGAGCGTGTTCGGCAGCTTCTTCAGCGAAAAGGCATTTCCACACCAGTTCGTGTTGTTGCAGTGGTTCCACCAGCAAACACATGGCGTCATTTGGCGAAATTAGACGCCTCATTTGCAGTTCCTGAGCATGAACTTGATGAGTGGTTGTTGATTTGCGAGAAGCCAATATATGGATTGAATGATGCCCCTTTAGCATGGCAGTTGAACATTCACGATCATTTGGAAAGCCAAGGAGGATGTCAATCAGTTTTGGATGAGAACCTATTTTTCTGGAAAGACAAAGGACTCACTGCACTTATCACGACACATGTTGATGATCTAGCTGTGTGTGCCAACCGTGCTTTCTTGGATCAACAGTACAAGGCTTTGACAGTCAAGTACGGCAAGGTATCACAAGAGAAGCTTCCCTTCTCACACTGTGGAAGCAGGTATAGCTCAACCAACACTGGTCTTCGTATGGACCAATCAGATTTCTGTGCGAACCTCAAGGAAGTTCCAGTTGCGAACTCACTGAATGACGAACGAGACCTCACCAAAGAGGAACAGTCAACATTGCGTTCGCAGTTGTGGCAGCAACCAGACTGGATTTAGTTGCTGACATTGGTGTTCTTCAGAGCTACGTCACAAAGTCCAAGGTCAAGCATCTCAAAGCAGCCAATTTGGTTGTGCAGAAGGCCAAGGATCCCAAGTTCAGAGATTTGGGTTTGGTCTATCAAAAGTTCAGGCCGGACTCAAAGTGGCGTTTGGCTTGTGTTCATGGTGCCAGTGCGCCATCCAAACTGCGCGACTATGCACAGGAAGGAGCTTTGGTTTTGCTGATTGAAGATAGACTTCCAGAGACGGCAGACTATGACATTGATGGTGAAAAGATTCTGAAGAGACCTTTGGTGGCCGTGCTCATGTTCTTTGGAGTCAAGGCTCCAAATCAAAGCGGATATCGTATTCGACGTCACATGGTGAGACGCTGGCGGCCATCAACGGCATGGTAACCTCTAGCTTGGTGTCATTGAGAATCAGTGAGCTGATTTTGCCAGAAGAGAAGCCAAGCCTTCAACGTTTAGCTGCATTGCAAGAAGGAGGAAACGAAGAGTTGCCAATTGATCATTATACAGATTGCAGAGATTTATTTGAGCTGGTGACAGGAAGTAACTCATTACCGCAAGATCGCTCTCAGAGAATTTACATTCTTGCTTTGAAAGAGGCTCGACTTTGCGGTCGAATCAGATGGTTCTTTCTCATTCCAACGCAGTGGATGACATCAGATCCCCTCACTAAACCTATGCATTCTGGACCTTTGCTTCACCTTCTCTCCTCTGGGGTTGTGCAGTTTCGTAACGAAGGAAAACACATCATCTGTGGCAGGCGACTTCCAAAACTGGAGATTGACGATGAGACGAACTTAGAGTATGAAGATACGCAGATCACTCAAGCGCTGCTTCTGGCCTCGCATTGCTTGGTGCCCAAGAACTTCTGCTTTGCATTCTTTGCGCTGCTTTGCATGTTCTTGCTGCCGGTGGCGACATCGAGCCCTACAACATCGGGCTCAGGCAATGGCAGTCTCAGTGAGTGAGGAATCAACAGAACTTGGATGGAGTTCAGTTTTTGTGATTTTCATTGTTTTTGTGTCGAACATTTTGTTGCTTTTGTTTTCATCTTGCTGTTTTTGCTGCTATCAACGCTGTTGTAATGGGACTCATAACTCCAAGAAATCCCTTCTAGATGAACGAGTAGAATCCACTGTTGATCTTGGTGACCGTGCCCTGTTGAAGATCATTTCAGATCATGAACGTGAGATTGAAGTCCTAAAGAGGACGATCAAATGCCGAGATGAGGAGAATGAAACACTCAGGCTCCACGGCATAAATCACGATGTATGGATCACCCAAGGTGGTCACAAATGGCACCAGTCATCCAAGTGTGCTAGTGTTCGCAGCGCAAGTGCTTCAAAGAGATACGAGGCTTGCCCAGGCGAGCCCAAATGAAGCCATAAGCAGAGTGAAGTTGTAAAGATGAATTCACATGTATCATATCCCTGGATCGCAGACGCGTCTTTAGGGTCAAAACACCAAGTGCTGCTGAATGAATTTTCCACCCCAACTTTGTCTTTGTTTCTTCCCGTGATTTTTGAAGGGTCTTTGCAGCTGGGTATCCACATTGCTCCGAGAAAAACATTGTGTTGTTCAAAGGTTGAAACAAATTATGAACTTGCAGGTTCAACCAACAGCTTGAAGAGAAGAAATCCAAATCCACATACCATGCCAACTCTTTGCAATGTAAAAAAGACAAACAGTAGCAACCAAATTCTTTGATTGCCCAAGCCTTTCTGGCGGATGTATATTTTTGGCCTCACCGTCACCATCGACAGCAAGGTAAACATGGAAAAGCAGGCTCCAGAGAAGTCAACGGAACGGGCACCCCCAAGAGGAACACGATGGGTATGGGTCCAAAATTCAACGGAGCCACAGCGTTTGGTCATTCTTCGTCTTAACCATCCAGTTTTATTTGGAGGTTGTTTTCCCCCAAGAGTTGTTGATTTTGAATTATGTTGCTTAATCCGAAATGTTGATAGTTGAATCCAAAGTTCTGTCGGTTCAAGCCATCATTAAAGTTGCTGGTGAACTCTCCCATTTCTAGCCCAACTTGGTTGATATATCCCCAGTCGAATTGCCATAATTGGGGTCTAAAATCAACCATGTTTCATAAGGAGAATTCCAGAAATGGTGGTACCTCCAAATCATTCATTTGTTTGGTGGGCTCAACCAGCTGTTGGGGATCCTCCATTTATGCAAAACTAGTTCTACCTACGTATTACTACTCTATTCCTAGCCATTATAAACTCATATTAACCAAACATTATTAGCCCCATCCCCGGAGTGTCACCATCGCTGCTATGGCGCGTCCGCGCCAGCCCTGGCAGCCCACGCGCAACGCCGCAAGCTGCGAGACGCGGCGCTTGCTGCGGCCGGTGGCGGGGCTGAAGGCGCGGCCACGTTCATGGCGAGTTCGCCGGTTTGAACCAAGAAAATATGGAGCTGTCCGAACATAGTTTAACTATCTGGAACCAAAATCTGGGTTAAACATGTCTTAAAATCTGGAAATATGGAGTTTAGACACCCTCAAACCATCATAAACCAATTGGAGATCTGTGTCCAACGTGCATTCGTAGCAAATTCCTCAGATGAAGCGGGCAGTGTTCACTGAACCATTGGTTTATTTGACGATCATTTTCCTGAAAAAAATGTTGCAATTGGGTGATATTCCCATCTTCAGAGACACCAGTATGGGGCAATTCCAGGCATATCTAATAGAAATCACAAGTGGTGGTGTTTGCTATCAATAAATATGGGGATTCAAGATCAAGACTAGGGATTTTAAACATCAAACATGGGGATTTGACTACCAATGATCAGCAGAAATATGGATACAACATGATACAACTAGGAAAATCAATGGATATGTGCTGGGTCGATCAGCTGCAAGTTTGAATGGTTGATTCATGTTAAATCTCTATTTTTGATGCTTAAACAATGTTAAACCATGAGGTCGTCAGGTGTCCCCTCTCTAACTTGACGGCCCGGCAATCACAGGAGGGTGTACAGCTGCCAAAAGGAGTGGAGGAGGAGCAGTCGCGAGATCTTGCTTGTGGTATTTGGATGTATTTGGGTCAAGCAACTGAATTTGGGGACTCAGAATAAATCCTTCATATCAGAATAGACCTAAACCTATTATGTCTTTAACTGAATGGGAGTCTAAGATTCTAAGATTATCTAAGATTGACTTTATGGTATTTTCTGGGTGTATTTGATCCGGTGGATCGGGCCTTTTTTTTACTCAAGGATTGTACACGCAATCAGATTGGACCAATTCCCATAGATACCATGAACTCTTTGGGAATAAACTATCCATAGATACCATGATATCTATCAGACTTACTGTACTCTTTGGGAATTTTTCACAGTTTGCGAACTGGAAAAGCACCATATTTTTCACAGGTGAATCATGAAAATAAATATCTATAAATGGGCAATTTTCCACAGCAAACTGTTCAATCACAAGGCGCCCTACATTTCGGTTGCTCCGATCCTGCAGGAACTTCGTGAAAGCATCGACAGGAAGGCTGGATCTTGGAAACCAAATGACCTGGAGATAAGGATCAACAAGTAGAATCATTCCCAATTGAGTGAATTGCTGTATATATATATATATAAGTTAGGCCTTGCACATCTTCCAACTCATCAAACCCAAAACATTTCAAAGCCACCAGCCATCTTATCATCAGCAAAACCATAGGGGGGGATACACGCTTTAACAATTTCCAATCAAACATAGGTCAAAATCATCTTTTCAACAAGTTCCCCAAAAGCATATAGAGATGGATAAGGTGGCATAAACTATGATTTCGCGGAATAGATACATGAGTTGGAAGATGGGCAAGGCTACTCCCTTTCAAAAACCTCCCAGTGCTCCTTTTCACTGCGGATGAACTCACGCTCTTGCTTGGTCTTTGGCTAAAAGCCACATGTTTTTTTCGGGCAAATTTTGCCAAAGTTTTCATAACACACCAAGTTTTGATTGAAGGCTGTTTTGTCGCCCTCCAAGCTTTGGTTGAATTCGTCGCCAAATGTCATGCTTTGAAGGCTCTGTCTGCCATGTTCTGTTCAAGTCTTTCTGCCGCAAGTCTTTTCTGTGCGGTTGGACAAAACTGACTGGGCAAGAAAAAAAGTTTGTCGGCGAAAGGGCATTCTCACTGTGCTTGTCCCCTTCACCAAGGTTCGGATGAAATTCGCTGTGCCAAGTTCTATGCCTGACATGGGGTTGGTTGAAGAAACACTCTTTCGGCCAGTGGAAAAACAGCCCAAAACCCTTTTCTGACGTTGGTTTCAAGCAAAAAACTTGAATAAATTTGGGCAAGTCTCATATCTCATCACCAAAATGCCACACCAGTTGAATACGTGTCATCCAGCCAGTGTCAGAGATTAAAGCACCAAAATCCTGATATGGAAGAATAGGCACAATAAACATTGAAATGCTACACTTGGATTTAAAAAAGGGGGTCATCAACAAGAAATCAACGCTTCATAATCTCAACCGAATGTCATGCCGTTCCAGCAATACCGCTCCATCCGCCTTTTCCTTCTTCTTCTCCGTCTCTATAACTACGTTCTTTAGAGCTTCATTCTTTCGGGTGGACATGCTGAAGTTCTGGAACTTCTTGACAGTGGTGTCATTCAAACCACTGTCGTTATCATCATCTGGGTCGTGTCCATCACCTGTCGTTGTCCCTGTGCTGGTTGTGTTTGGTCCCTTCTTGGCTCGTTTTTGATTTTTTCTTTTTGAATTTCTTTTTCCATAGGATTCCATGTTTAATCCTCCAGCATCATTTCTATTGGTGAACATCTGACATCGAATCTGTCGCAGAAGGATTCGCCATGTCATCAACCCCACTTGGTGTGACTTCTCAGCTGATTCTCAGCTGATTCGGAGTTTTTTGGGGCCTTCTGATTATCCAATTGGATGGTCCCTTCATGTCCCTTCTTGATGGCCTTCAAAATGACTTCAATCATAGTAACCCCCCAAAAAGATGCTGAAGTATAGTCTAGTTAATATCGTTCAACAATTTAGCACTAAGATTGGGTGATCCCCTCAATCGCCATCACTTAACCTTTTTGTCACCGACACCAGGCGTGGCTCCCTACCGCGGGAGCTACTGCTGAGCCGCGAAGATGGTGGGGATCTGCCACCCCAGCAGCGGTGGATCTTCGAAAAAACGCTGCAGCATCACACGGCCGACGCCTGGATGCAGAGGGTGGAAGCCTTGGACAAGGCATGGGGATATTCCGAATTTTTACTTGGGGTTATGATTTTGGATGATTTTATGGGATATTCATATAACTTCATAACACTTATATAATCTTTATATAATCTTTATATCATCTTTATATCATCTTATATCCAATATACCATGATGTTTAAGTGATATTTAAACACCAATCATCATGGGGATATGATGGGGATATTACAGGACATTTTGGGACCTTATCATGAACATAAGAGATCATTTTTCCTTGGTGAGGAGGGAGCTGAGGAACAACGTTTATATCCATATTCCCTTTTTAAATGGGGAACCAAGGAGCTGCTAAGAGTTTCCCAAGCGCATGATAGTTATGGGCTATGGGGGATATTATGGGATATATTGCTGGAATTCTTGGATATTTTTTACAGGGAAAGTCAAAAGGCCAATGGATTACCCACAGGTTGTAGCTGTCATTGGCATTTTCTGGCTACACGACCACGTAAAAAGGGATGATTGAGACCAGGTAACTGCAACTTGCGGTGAACTTGCGGTGTGAAAATCAGGGTGCCAAGGGGTTACCATGGTTTGGATGCCGCATCCCCGTCGAAGGCGGAAGGTTGTTCCATCTGCTTGGAGGACATGGCTGTGGCTTCGGAGGCCGTGAGGCTGCCATGTGGCCACTGCTATCATCCCAGATGTCTTAAGAATTGGTTCGTGAGAAAGCTGCGATGCCCCTTGTGCAATGTTGCAGTGGAATGAGTGGAGCGTGGGTGACAACTCAGATATTTGCAGCG